TTTTTTTTTTTTTTTTTTTTAAATTCGAGTACTCTTTGTTGTTGTTGTTTTTAATTCCATTGATTTGGACAATATTTTAGATAACAGCTAAGCAGAAAATGATCATTCTTATTTTTTTCCCCCCATAAATTGAATTATTTTTTAGATATTTTATTAAAAGCCCAACTTTTTGTTAAAAGCCCTAATTTTTGTCATTGTACTGATAAATTATGTGCTAGATAATTAATATTATCTGAAAATGTAGTTGTTTAGTGCATTTCACAGTGATTCCAAAGCAGCTTAATGAAAAGGTAACACTTTATAATAACTTTCATTTATAAATCATTAACAAACATTATTTAATGCTTAACAGATCATTAGTTAATATATATTCACATAGCTAGAAATATGAGAAAATGTCTTGTTAATGTTTACTAATGAACTTACTAAACATTACCTAATGATTAACATATGGTTATTTAATGTAAATTGAAATGCTTACAAATATCAGTAAACTTTCAGTTCATTTGATCTTCATTTGTTGGTCTTTGTTGTGTAGACCTCTATTTACACATCTTAACAAATAATCTATTAATTATTTGTTCATGTTTTTGCAGTACCCAATCTAAAGCGGAAACTATTCATCATTTGCAAATGTTTATCAAATGTTTACTAAACATTAATACCTTTATGAGCAGTCATCTCAATGGCAAAAAGTGTCCCGAAAGACCTGAATTTACCCTATTCACACATCTTTACTAATCATTTATTAATCATTTGTTCATGTTTTTGGAAGTATAAAGTTGGAAGTATTCATCATTTGTAAATGTTTATAAATGATTACTAATCGTTTAGTATCTTTATGGGCATTGGACTTTTATCTACTGTAACAATGTTTGTGTAAAGGGTGGCTGGGTAAGTTTAGCTAAATGCTTGCTAAAGACATAACAGATTGTAATTTTGGGGCAAAAAATGTTTTTATTTCCTCAACACTCACTCACAGGAGAAAACAAATCATTTTTTAAAAGAAAATACTTCATTTCATTTATCAAAACAATATAATATAAACAGACTGAACCGTGTTCCCTTATAATAATTAAATTGACCCCTGTACACTGTTGACCCTTTAACCAACCCTTAAACCTACCCATACCACCAAACCTGGCCCTAACCTTACCCGTATCACACATCAATAGCAGCTAAAGTGTCGTGCATTAACACAAGCTTTTATTTGTAGATTTTCAATAAGTGCTTGATCACATGGATCTGAAAGTTTAACGACATTTGTAAGCATTTTAACTTACATGAAATAATGATTTGTTTGAACATTATCTAATGTTTAATACGTTTATTAACAAACATTAACAAGCACATTATCTCACGTTTCTACCTCTTTGAATATATATTAACTAATGATCCATTAAGCATTACATAATGTTGGTTAATGATTTATTGATGAAAGTTATTATAAAGTGTTACCAATACAATTTTTAAGGTTTAAGATTTAAACCATTAACATATCACCTTTCTGTGGTGGAATAGGTCCTGTACCGCCAAATGCAACAGTGGTCTTTGAGGTGGAGCTTTTGTACATATCCAGAGGACCACGCAGCATAGAAGCCTTCAATGAAATTGACATTGACAACGACAAGGCCCTGACAAAAGAAGAGGTAATAGATATCAGTTAATGCATGTCAATTGTTGTATTAGGAATTTTCTTTTGCATACCTAATTTTTATTTATTCATTATTATTGTTTTTAAAATGTACATATTATCATTTTTGGATTTACAGATTAAAGAATACTTGAGGATGGAAGCAAAGAAGTTAAATACACAGAAAGATGAATCCTATTTTGATGATGTTGTGGCAGATGTGTTCCATAAGAATGATCACAATGCCGATGGGACCTTATCACTAAAGGAGTACAATGTTTATGACCATGATGAACTATAAACACTACTAGTAGTGT